AGGGAAAAAATAGGTTGATGATGAAATTAAAAATAATTTTGGGAAAAAGTTGTAAAAATTTGGGTTCGGATAATATTTTTAAAAGAAAAATTAGAAACTAATGGGCAAAACGTAATTAAAAAAATTACTTCATGTAGGACCACCAAGTCAGCAGCCCCGATGAACCGAAGCGAGCTGCGTGGTAAGGCACAATGACTTAGTGCCATGCGAGAGGCCACACTAGCAATTCACGTGCCCGCGATCGGACAGCCAGAATGCGTTTTCGTGCGCGTGAACGGTCTGGATCTATTCCCTCCTCAGGCATGATCGAACGGTCGTGATTAAACGCGATATAGGGATGGTCCGTTTCACTCTCATACCGAACGGGGTATTAAGGAATGGACCCAGATCCCGATCAACAAGAGGGTTATGAATAATTCACCACACGGACTCATTCAAAAACTAGTGAAGATCGTCCTAAGATACTCAATTGTTTACTTTTTATTTATTTTTTTTATTTTCGTTTGTTATTTTAGAATGGACATTTCCATAACTCTATTAGGCATTCTAAATTATTATGTAAGAAATATAAACTCTAAATTCTATTGTTTCACTTCCACATTTAATTCATGTCTTTATCTCCTTTTCAGTTCTGGGTTGTTACATGAAGTTTCTGTAAGTATATAGTTGTTCCTTCGTAAATAAAGAATTTGAAATACTTTGAAAAAATATTAATTGTTCTTTGTAAAATATATTTCAACGCTCACATAGATTTAGTAGCAGTAAGTATTTAAGAGAAAATCGACAAAACCAAGAAGATTCAAACGATTAAGGAAATCTGTAGCGCCCGGGAAATTGAAGAAGAAGAAAAAAAAAAGGCCACGTCAGCAGCCACGTCAGCAGTCCCGGCCAACCGGGACCTGCCACGTGGCAAGACCACGTCGATCCGGGACGGACCACGTTGGCGATCCGCGTATGCGCGATCGGACGGCCCAGATCAAACGTGCGATCGGACGGCCCAGATGCAATCTCACGGACGGCCCAGATTCAATCAAAAACGGACGGTCCAGATTAAATCAAAATGGACAGCTGAGATCAAAAGGTAAAAGGGTATAAATAAGACCCCCACACCAGACCACAAAACCCTAGCCGCTTGCCCTCGCCGGAGAAGACGAACCAGAAGCCGGCCGCCGCCACCCGCCGCCGCACCGGAGGGATTTCTGACCGCCGATTGAGGTAAATTTCATACCCCCGACTCGTTTTTCCACGCTGATTTCCCCTATGGCCAAATCGGAGCCCAAATCCCGGCCAAACGGCCGAAAAACACGGGCCAAAACCCAGCGGCGCCGCCGCGCCCCTCCTCAGTTTTTGCCTCCGATGAGGCCCTTCCCCGGCCTCCGTTTAATGCAATTTTTATATCACCGTGATCACCATTCTTTTCTCTACAGGTTTATCAGAGCCGAATCACCAAAACACGAACTTCACCGGAAAGCCGCCGCACCCGAGAGCACCGCCGCCGGTAAGCTTCGGTTTTCCGTAATTTTTTGGCCCCCTGAGGGCCCTAGAGTTGTTTAATCGCAAGGATCGATGCAAGTGTGGCCGAATTCGGCCGAAAACGGCCAAACCGAGGCGAATCGCCGTCGCCAGAGCACGGCGGAGCCGCAGTGTCGGAATTGCGATATTGGCCGAAAGGGGCCCTGGGCCTAATTTGGGATTTTTTGGAACACGTGCAGGTACCAGTAGTGCGTTTCAGTTCCCCGGGAAAAATTCAGAAAAAATTAGGGACAGCCTGTAGGCGCACTGTGAAGCCGTGTTCGGACCCCGAAACGAGTAAGGACCCCTCACCCTATTTTCTATCACGGTATTAAAGTTCAATAAATGATAAAACGGTATTTCATGAATCAAAGAATGTGTGAAATTGTTGAAGGTCGCTAATGGAGCCCGAGTCTAGTGTGGTTGTCGGTTAATTGTTATTTGCCATGTTTTACAGTTTTAAAAGCAGTATGAGGTTTGATGTTTTCATTTTATAGTTTTGTGTGCATATTTTACTGTTTTACCGATTATGGATCGAATGACTGGGATATTGATGCTGTATGTTGTCTGTTTGGCATAAATTACTGTCTTGCTTATTTGTATGTGGATTGATGATGCTGACTGAGGGAAAAGAGAATGATAGATTATGTAAATGGGTAATTGTATAATGTGGTCAGCCTGACTAGATATCCTAGGAGATGGTGGACGGACCGGGTCCGTAGGGAACCCTACCGGAATTGTGGTCTCCCATACCGGACGGGGTATGGAGATCTTATGTGTTTTGGCGCCCATACCGGACGGGGTATGGGGACGGCCCGTTTCACCCTCATACCGGACGGGGTAATGAGGTTTATAGTTTTGGCGCCCATACCGGACGAGGTATGGGGACGGCCCTGGAATATGATTTCAAGTGTTAAGGGTTAACGGGTAGCGGGACCCCTATGGATCCCCATGGATACTAGTGGGCTGGTAAAAGAGGAAAAATATGTTGTGTAACGATTGAATTACAAAAGGCTTGATAAGTATTATGTTATACAGTTCATATATGATTTCATGATGATAATAATGTTATTGCTTTCGTATACTGTTTTATGGATTCCATCGAGGTAAATGGATGGTAAAGGATTTATTATTGATAAAAGAATTTGTTGTAAATTATACTCCATTGGTCTTTTTGTGTTTTCTACCCACCTTTACCTCCGTGACGGTGAGATATCGTGATGTCTTTACTGGGCTAGTGTAGCTCATTCCTTATTTAATCATTTCAGATCAAGAGGACATCGTTCCCGAGCCGGTTCCGCAGGAGGACGACGAAGGGGATGCCTAAAGACTCCATAGTCATATTCGTAGCTTTTACTTTCAAGTTTCTCCTTTAGGTAGTTTGATCTTTTATATTTTGTGAGCACGTTTTTTGTTTTAGTGTAAGGGATGTTATTCAAATTTTGACTTCGCTTCCGCATTTGATATTTTTAATATACATTTCATTTTAAATTTCCGGGGCCGTTACAAAATCGGTTCAATTTTATGTGTTGTTCAATTTATGCAAAAATCAATCAATATAAACATTTGAAACTAGAAAT